CTCATCCTCATCCTCCTCCTCCTCCTCCTCTTCCTCCTCCTCATCATCATCATCATCATCATCATCATCATCATCATCATCATCATCATCATCATCATCATCATCATCATTATCTTCGCGAGGCGGTGATTTATCCATTTCCACCGCCTCGGAACCTGACGTCCTGGTATCCAGATTTTCCTCCTGTGGAGGTCCGCAAAGATCAATCACCCAGGCGGTGGTTATAAATAAATCCTCCTCGGGCCCTTCCTTTTTTTCATCCTCACCGCGCTGCGAGGCGACTCCTGGATCAGGATGCCAGTCCGAGTGCGCTTTGTACGGAGCATGGCGTGCTTCAAGATGGTTGGGCGAGCACACGGCTACGCCGCTCAGAGTTCTAGCACCATAGAGTCAAGAGGTCGGTAGGGGCTTCTGCGAAACTGCACTTCGAACTGTACGAGGTCGACTCGTCCATATTCGTTATTGACATCTACTCCCGCTCTGCCGCAAGCCCGGCCCATAGTAACTGGTTCCATGGGGCTCCATCCTCCCTGACAAAAACACTGTTTTTCGTCTCAGCGTAGACACTCTGTCGTCCGTGTTGCAGAATGCGCGGCAGGAATGGGACGGGGCGCCCAGAATCTGGGCGAAGTACCGAAACGTCGCCCTGGGCGCCGCGCTCATTCTTCTAAAGTACTGGGCTCCCGCTCGGGAGTGGCGCGCAGCTTTCGCACGCGACTTCGCGGACACGCGAGCGGGCGAGGATATCTCTCCTGCCTCGACGCCGCGCGGACTCCGCCTGAAAGTGGCGCTCCCGCCCCGACGCGTCGCATACCTGTCACTCGCAAATGTTTCGGGGGCCCGCGCGACTGGGCGACTTGTAGCCCTCGCCCGGGCTCCGTGCGCATTTCGCTCGGAGGTGGCCTTTCGCGCGGGCGCGGCGCGCAGTTCGCTCGCCGGATGGCAGGACAGCGGCAGCGGCAGCGGGGTCGCGCGAGAGCGGGCGAGATGCCAACCTCGCCCAAGCGCCGCGCAGCTTGTGAGTGAAAGTGGCAGTACCGTGTCAACGCGGCGCATGCTTCGTCTTCGCCGCGCCCATCGACAGTCGTTCTTCTGTCTTCGCCAAGTCGTTGGAAGCTGGGCCGCTCGCGAGCGGCTTCGTTTACGAGATGGGAACGGGTTCCAATCCCAATATCAGGTTGCACCACAATTGATTATCGTGTTGTGTGTGTGGGAGGGTGGGAATAGGCGGGGTCCTCTGACTCGCTCGACCGGTCTAGCTTGATTCGACTCCTACTCCTACTCCTCCCGCCCTCCCTCTCTCGCTGCCTGCCTCCCTCCCTGAACCCCCCCCTCCTCCTCCTCCTCCTCCTCCTCCCTCCTCCTCCTCCTCCTCCTCCTCCTCCTCTCCTCATCTCCTCCTCCCCCCCCTCCACCTCCTTCCTCCTCTCCTCCTCTCCTTCCTCCTCTCCTCCTCCTCCTCCCTCCTCGTCATCCCCCTCCTCCCTACTCCCCTCCTCCCTACTCCCCTCCTCCTCAGCAGCATCTCCACCCCTCCCTGGCTTCTGTGCGACTTTGCAATTTCCTCCACTTCCCTCAAATGCTTTTTTGGTAGGTGGATCTCTCAAGCTCTCCGCCGCCTCTGGCGGTGTGCGTTGAGAACAGGATCACAGCGAAGCCACAAGAAAGAGCGGCATTGACAGTGTAGCTCCGCACACGTGACACATGCTAACGAGCACGTCCCTCTCTCCTCACAAGAATTTCGCAATTGCCGCGAGGCTGGCTGCGCTCTCTTGCTGCTCCAGGTCAGCGTGAACGGACGATGGACAGATAAGGATGGAGGAGGGAAGTGGGAGGGTGGAGAGGCGCTCGTCCTCCTCCTCCTCCTCCTCCTCCTCCTCCTCCTCCTCCTCCATGTCTTCCCCCCCCCTCCGCCCCCTGCTTATCTTCGAGACCTCACGCGCTCATCCTGCGCGAGTCCTCGTGCTCAGCAGAGCTGTGGTCACCGCTGGGGTCGGCGGCGGAGTAGGCTTGGGCGGCACTGGCAGCTTCTGCAGCCTCTGGCCCATGACCAAGATGGAAATGGTCGCCTCGGGGAGGGGAGCGGGGAAGAGGAGGGGGAGGGCAGAACGGCTGGAGGACGGGAGGAGCGGGAGGAGGACCGGCTGGAGGCAAGGGTGGGACGAGATGGCCGCCTTGGGGGTGAGCGACACCAGCCGCGAAGCGAGTTCGGAGTAAGCTGCACCCCCCTCCGAGCCAACTCAGCCCGACCTCGGACCTTCGGCCATCGGCCTGAGAGGATCCGAGTCAAGTGGTCGGCTCGGGTGGGGGTCGCTATTTTGTGGCGCTCGTGCCCACTCTTTAGAATTTCAGAGCTTGAGATGGCCGCCTCGGGGGAGGGGAAGGGAGGAGGGAAGAAGAAAAACAACTGCATAAGGATAAACTTTCGGCGCTCCGTGCAGATTTCTTGGATCTGCGCTGCACCCCCCTCCCTGGCGCGCGGAGCGCGCCAAGGGCGGCGCTGGAGGCACCACTGGGGGGGGCCCAGCGCGGATCCAAGAAATCCGCGCGGAGCCGCCAAAAGTTCATGTTCATTGCGTTTTTTCTCCTTCGAAAGGGAGGACCCTGATATCCTGGCGTTCCAATTCTTTCGAGCCGGGCGTTTTCGTCTTTTTTCTGGCCCCCGGACCCTCACAGGTCGGTCCGCCTCGAAAAATAACGCAGGAAGATGGGGTCCAAGAATCCTGGCGTGTTTTTTTGCGATGTTGCATTTTTCCCGCCACGTCGCATCTCAGGGCACGCAGAAAGGAGCGATGGGGGGAGGGCAACGGTCGGAGGGAGGAGAGGTTTCGACGGAGCGGTGCTCCTGGGCTGCCTGGCGTGAGGCCTTCGTGCTGAGCAGTGCTAGGCCCGCCGCACGCCCCTCCCTTCTCCTTTCAAGGGGCCCAAGGACACACAAACAAATACACACACAAATCCCAGGACTCCCAATATTTTTACATAGTTTCTGGATGTTCGTCCCATGTTTTCCTGGGAGTCGACGATTAATTGTGTCTGTGTTTTTTCCCCTCCTGATCCTTCTCGTCCTATCTCCTCTTCCTTTCCCTCCTCCCAGCAGTGGACCAGAGCAGGCGAAGCCATCCAAGCTGCGGCCCCACGGGGCCCAGCGTGTATCAGGACATCTGACGTGGGCTTTTGCGTGGCATGCGCTGCAGCCCCCGATGGGCCGCAGCGCAACATGGAGGACCCATAGGTGGGGTGGTGCCGATGGTTTATATATATATGTGTGTAAATATAAACACTACCACGGCGCATGCTAGCCCACCACCCTCTGGGACCAGCCCTACACGGTCCAGAGGGGCGCGCCTGCTTCCCCGCGGAATTCCTCCCCAAGCTGCACTTCAACGCGCCCACCCCCAACTCAGTTGATGCGCTCTGCACGTGGTGGAAGCATGCGGGGCCCGCCGGCATCAGTACCCGAGGTAGTTCGACGATCATTCCGAAGCAGGCCCAGCTTACATATTCGTTTCAAATTCAAAACTGCTTTTTTCGCGCACATAAGGCTCGCTTATTCCGCCGAGAACTCTCGAGTTCCAGCTGCAGGCTTTGTAGCCAACTCGAACCAGGATTCAACGCTGAGCTTTGTAGCCTGACGACTGCACCCCGACCGAGGTCCACGCAGTTGCAGCCGCAGACGGCCCACCCGTCATCCCTTGAAAAACCCGCGTTGGGCCGAGATTGACCACGGGCCGCGGCCTTCTGCTTGCCGACCGCCCCCTGCAGCGATATCGCACTCCAAGATATGCTCCAAGGGACCCCGACCAAGGTCCCGGCAGGGACGAGGAGGGAGGCGACGAGGAGGGGAGAAGGAAAGGGATGCAGAGGAAGCAGGGGGGAAGGAGATTGCGGAGATTGCAATGATGCGCACCCAGGTGCGTTTCGTGCCAACTCAGAAAAAGTTGGAGGAGGAGGAGGAAGAAACGATCACCTGAGGTCCACGCAATTGCAGCCGCAGACTGCCCACCCGTCATCCCTTGAAAAACCCACGCTGGGCTGCCCAACATGCATTGACCGAGACTGCCCACGGGCCGCGGCCTTCTGCCTGCCGGATCGCCCCCTGCAGCGATATCGCACTCCGGCTGCGCACTGCGCTATCGCCGACGGCACGTATACGGCAGAGGAGGCAGCGGACGCATTGGGATACCCCCCTTTGTGCCCTCGCCGCCGTCGGGGAGGAAGCGCAGCAGGTATGAGATAGCGGGAGAAAGGATGAGGGGGAGGAGGGAGAGGATGAGGAGGGGAGAAGGGAAGGTATTGAGAGGAGGCGGGGAGGAGGAGGAAGAGGAGGATGATGATGAAGAGGCATCGTTGCCCTGTGTGATTCATCGTTGCCCTCTCAGTGAATCCGTAGTTGCTCATCATCGCTCGCGTGCTTGGCTCATTGTGTGGCAGTCTGAAGCATGAGACAGATTAGTGTTAGATCAGGGTGCCGTTGCTGTTTGGGCCTGCATGATCCCAGAGGGGGTGGCAGTTGGAATGCCTTCCCCCCTTGGTTATCCTCGCGGGGCCTCCTGGGAGCCTTGCGACCTGTTCTTGCCTTCTACTGAGGGCTCCGAAGGTCTCCAGGGATGGATTGTATAGAGATGTACCCGTCATTGGCACTGTCCTCTGTCCTCCACCCCTCTCCTTGTCCTTGATTTTCTGTGCTTGCTTCGGCTACGACTTCGTCATCCCGTCATAATCCAACCCACCGACCGAGGAGGAGGAGGAGGAGGAGGCGGCGGAGGAGGGGAGGAGGCAGAGGGGAAGAAGGGAGGATGGGTCGGAAAGGAAGAGGAAGAGTAAGAGGGGGATGCGGATGCTGGCTGCTCGCGCGCTAATTCGTCGGATCAGCTTTGGTGTACGGGAGGGCGTGTTGCGAATTCGCTGCAGCGTCACCGGCTGGCATCGCGCGGAGTCGACGCCGAGGCGCGACCCAGCGTCCGAAGGCGGCGGCGGAAGCAGTTTCGGCACGGGTCGCCTGGCTGATGTCGAAGAGGGAGCTCCCGCAGAGCGAACCCCTGCGGGTAAAAGCTGCCCGTCTCTCCCACCGCTTTCTTCCTTCTCCTCCTCCACCTCCTCCTCCTCCTCCTCCTCGTCCTCGTCCTCGTCCTCGTCATCGCCCTCCTCCTCCTCCTACTCTTTCTCCTCCTCCTCCTCATCCTCTTCGTTCTTTTCCTCGCCCAATCTCTTCCTCCTCTACCCTCCGCCTCGTCCTCCACCTCCTTTACCTACCCCTACTCTACCCCCTTCCATATCTCCTCCTCATCCTCCTCCTTCTCCTCCTCCGCTGATTGTCGCCTGCATCGACGTTGGGAAGCCGCCTGCCCACGGTGCCCCCCGCAGTGGACTTTGCTCGAAGCAGTGACTTGGAAGATACCTGAAAAGGTTGCTCGCAAGACTTGGTGCGGACTCATTGAATTGTTTTTCGCCTCTACGGCTACATGCCCTCACACAAGCGGACCACGGTGAGGGGAGAAATATAACATTCCTCTCCCTCCTGTTCTGCTGGGGGTGCCTGCCGCTGCATACACACACAAACACACACACACACACTTTTGCGTCGGCGGCCAGGCAGAGGGACTGCTCTGGCGAAGTGGCACTAGTGGGACACACAGAATGCGAATTAAGCCGCCATGCGCAAGAGGGAAAGAAAGGAACCCCGGCGCGGGCGGGAGGGAGAGAAGGCCAGGCCCGCTCAGAGCAGGGCCAGGCGGTGGCGGGGAGGGCGCGGGGGCGGGGAGCCAGCGGCAGCGGTGGGGCAGCAGCTGGGGGTAGGTAGCCAGTAGGCAGCCAGGCACGCGCCCAGAGGGGGGGAAGCAGGTCCAGCGCTAGCTGGAGGTGGGGGCAGCGCAGTAGGGCGGCCGAGGTGCCGAGATCAGAGTGACCTCAAGGCAGCCGAGAGCGGCAGCTGCAGTGGACCAGCTCGGGTGAAGGGTCCGGGGCACCGGGGAAGTACTCCCCGCAGGGCGGAGCAAGGGAGGCGAGGGCCGGCCAAGGTGCCGAGATCCGGAAGAGGTGCGAGGCGTCCTGGGGGGGACGGCCGCCCGGACACCCCAGGGCGGAAGGCCGAAGGCGGGCGAGCAGCAGAGACGGTGCCCGCCGACCGACAGCGCCGGATCTGCGCCGGAGGAGCGAACCCGCCAGAGGGGCTGGCCAGAAAGCCGGGCAAGGAGGGGCAGCGGGTGCCGAGGCAGCATGTGGCCTGCCAGGCACCCATGGGGCCCAAAGCGAAGGCCCGGCCAAGAGCAAGGCAGGCGGTGCGTCGCAGGGCAGGAGCGGACCACCGCGGAGCGGGGGGGAACTGCCGCTGCACACACACACACACACACACACTTCCAGACAATCCTCCCAGCTCGAGCCTCCTCCTTTCCAGGACAAGGGGAGGCGAGCTTGACGACCCTGCCACCTGTGCTGTGGTGAATGCAGTTCAAGCAAATACAGAGGACCGAATCACCAACCAGAGCAGTCTATCAGTGCACAGCGATGACCGTTGGAAGCAAGCGTCTCTGGATTCAAGCGGGGAGGCACGACGCACGTGCCTGGAGGGGGCGGCACTGACCTTTTTTTCCTCGCAAACGAGATTCACACAGCCAAAAAGTCGAGACCCACGTCCAGGAATGCCCCGGGCCCCTAGACTTAGGGAGCGTCTCGGGCTTGCAGTATTCAACTCCAGCGAGGTCGCACGTGGGCCACAGCAGGAGGACCCTGGCGGCCAGCCTGGCAGCAGCACGCAAAGTGTTAAGATGATTGTCGATCCTTTCTCTGGCCTCGGGGTCGGGGTCTGGGTGCTGCTGGGCACCTTTCTTGGCTGCTCGATCGGCGAAATCGTTACCGATCCGACGGCAGGTCTATTCAGGTGAGATACCTTCCTCGTCGGTCTGCTCATGAGCGCCCTCGGGTCCTTTGCTTGTTGCCGTGCACTCTCCTGAGGGAGTCCTCCCAGGGGGCCCAGAGCCCGAATTCACAGACCTCCTGGGCCTTCCCGCGTGCCCCCTGGGCTCCAACGCATCTTGTCGCGTGAATTTGCGGGGCCCAAGAGGGCCCCAAGACGGGCCAGGAGGCCCACGAGGCCCCCAAGACGATCCAAGAGGGCCCCGAGTCGCAGAAAGATCGCTCCGAGACGTCCAAGATGGCCTCGAGATGGCCCAAGAGGCCTCCAAGACGCCGCAAGAGGCCACAAAGAGGCCTCCCAAGAGGGCCCCAAGAGGCACACAGAATTGATGCTCCATCTGTTCTTGAAGGATTTCGGCGTTCTCGCTTTTTTTCCAACGTTCCAAGGCGGCTCAAGAGGCCCCCATAAGAGGCACAAGAGGCCTCGAGGGGGGAGGGCCTGCAGGGTGGTGGTGGTGGTGGTGGTGGTGGTGGTGGTGGTGGTGGTGGTGGTGGTGGTGGTGGTGGTGGTGGTGGTGGTGTACAGCTGCCCTCTGCGGAACACATGGAGAGGCCCGCTCAACGCCGCGCAAGATGGCTGTGGCCCATGATTTGTCGCAGGCGGCGTCACACCTCTTGATCCTCCCTTCCACTCCTGCGACTCGTCCCCACCTTCGAAGTGACATGCGCTTCGCCAGGGGGGGCTGTCCTGGGGTCGCCGTCGCCGAAGACGCACGTGTTGGCGATGGTATCCATCCAGGCGGTGCTGGCCTCTGCGCGCGAGCGCGCGGGGGTGGCGCAGCGGGGAGGCGCTTGATGGTGCGAGATGCCCACGCGACGAGGCGGACCATTCCGCCCCCCACCCTCCCTCGCTTGAATAGGACGACGAAATCTGTACGTGTCCACTGCTCCCTGGCCAGGCCCATTCTGAATCCAGCAGCGGTGTAAACGCCACGCCCTCCTGGCTTGGCCAGGAGGGCGTCCACACAACTCCTGGGTTCCCGATGGGCCTTGCCAGGGTGCGCGGCGGCGAGCTAGAGGGGGAAGTTAGAAGGGGCGGGCCTTCTCAGAAGGCTCGGACGTCTCCCGCCCTTCTCGGAGGTCTTCTGGGCCTGCCCCGAAGACGCAGAACACTTCTCGGCAGGCCCGAGGGCTTCAGAGAGGCCCCGCCGCCTTCTGACAAGGCCTCCTCCTTCTTCCTCTCACTTCCCCCCCGTCGTTCGCCGCCGCGTATGTATGTATGTATGTATGTACGTACGTACGTATGTATGCATGCATGCATGCATGCATGCATGTATGTATGTATGTGTGTGTATGTATGTATGTATGTATGTATGTATGTATGTATGTATGTATGTATGTATGTGTGTATGTATGTATGTATATCTGTATGTAAGTATGTATGTATGTATGTATGTATGTATGTATGTATGTATGTATGTGTGTGTATGTTTGTATGTATGTATGTATGTATGTATGTATGTATGTATGTATGTATGTATGTATGTATGTAGATATGTATATGTATGCATGCATGCATGCATGCATGTATGTATGTATGTATGTATGTATGCATATATGTATGTATGTATGTATGTATGTATGTATGTATGTATGTATGTACGTATGTAGGTGTGTGTATGTATGTATGTATGTATGTATGTATGTATGTATGTATGTATGTATGTATGTATGCATGTATGTATGTATGTATGTATGTATGTATGTATGTATGTAGATATAGCTGTGTGTATATATATATGTATGTATGTATCGTTGCCCGACCTGCAGGGCCCTCGTGGCGGCGCCAGCACCCGTGGCCGCGCTGCGGCGGTCGCAGGGACCCCAAGGGGGGGAGGGGGGCGGCGGTCTGTCCCGCAAGGCAGAGCCTGCGCCAGCCCCGCTGGGCCGCCGGACTCCCTTCGGGGATCATCCGTGAAAATTGGAACGGCACAGGGAAGATTAGCATGGCTGAAAGGAGCCCTGGGACACACAAATAAACACACACAAATAACATGACTCCCCAGATTTTCGCATATTTTCTATGTTTTTGTCCTCCCCCCACTGTCCCCCACTTTCCATATTTTCCCATATTTCCCTGGGACTCGACGATTAATTGTGTGTGTTTTTTCCCCTCCTGAGTGGCCCCTGCGCAAGGATGGCACGCACACATCGAGACGTGTACACGACTCCCCGCTGGGCCACCCGAGCTCGGCCAGTGCCTGGGCGCTCGGGCGCACCGGGGGTGCGCGTGCCGCCCTGCGATGCAAGGGCGCCTCGCTCCGCGCTCTCGCGCCGCCCCCCAGGGGAGAAGGGGAGGACGGGGAGGAATCGGGAGCCGAACCGCGGAGCGCGAATCGCTCCGCGCCCTCTCGAGGGCGCCTTCGGGGGTAGTACTTCGGAGCATCCTGGACCGGTGTGCGAAACCTACGCCGTGCATGAGCGACAATCCTTGCTGGTATTGTTAGGTCGGACATGTCCCCCCATAGGCGGATTTGGGAGAAAGATAAACATAGTCCAAACATAATTACTCAAACATAATCAAACATAATCGAATAATCGTCCCGGAAATAATCAAACATACTCAGAATAATCAACTATTTCTGAATTGTCCTCCTGTACAGGGACAGGCCCGACTTAATGCTGTTGTGCCGCTGCGTCGTCGACGAAGAGAAACTGACCGAGCGTCCCAGGGGAGCAGCCAGGCGGAGGAGGCGGAGGAAGGGTGAGGATGGAGGAAGGATGAGGATGGAGGGAAGGGAGAGACAAGCATTAACGGGCGAAGAACGGTATCAAACAATTGTTTTCGCTGTCGGGGGCGCCTGTCCCAGGGCGGCTGGAAAAGGTATACCCTCACGGTGGCACGTCAAAATATAAACTTCCCAGCCGCCCTGGGACAAGCGCCCCTGGTGACGGAAAAAGTATGTTATACCGTTCTTCGCCTGCTAAAAGGTGATACACAGCCGTGACAAAAAGTTTCTTCAATTTGCTATGATGGAGATCTCTCCCATCCCTCTCAATATTCCTAACAAGACATGGTGCTGGGTCATTCGGCGGAGTAGTTTCCGATCCCGGGGACGTTAATAACTCTGTTACCCCAAAACGGGATCGGAAACTACTCCGCGCCAAACCATATGAATTACCGAGCGGGATGCGATTGCGCGCGGAGTAGTTTTAGTAAAACTACTCCGAACTACTTCGCACGAGCGCGTCATTCCAAAAGGCAGATTGAAAGAAACGTTCGTCACGGCGATGTAGGAATGGGGGATGGGGAGGAGGGAGAGCATTTCAAAGTACAGCTGTTCAAGCACACTTAAATATTGCAACACTGCTTGAATTCTGCGCGCGAACTTCCTCATCGCCCTCATCAACGCCATCGCATGGCCACCGTCATCGACATCGTCCATCGCCGGCATTGCGGCCATCATCGTCAGAATCAGCTTCATCACCGACATATGGACATCATCATGGTCATCGCCGCCACCAGCATCGGCGCCGTCATTGGCCTTGCCGTCGCCGTCGTCACCATCGCCGTCACCACATCGTCATCGTTGCTGCCGTTGTCGACGACATGAGGATGACGCGCGCGCCCGAGTCACTGAAGACTACAGGACACGAGTGTGCAGATCAACGGGGACAAACACAATCGATATTGCCGCGATGGGGGTTCTCAAGGCTCCTCTGCCGGCCCCGTCGGCACGTCTCGGGAGACCTCCGCAGCAACTTTCTTTCCTAACAGCTCTTGCTGATAGGTTTCTAGTGGTCTCAAAAGAGAGCATCATGACTCCTCAGGGGGGTCGGGGCGGGACCTGGGGAGGCTGCCGGCGCGGCTGCCGCCGCACTCGTTTTTCGCAAACAGTCACACACTTCGTGCTCTTCGACCTCCCAGAACTCCATTCCCGGGCCACATTCTGAATGCCCGGAGCCAACTGTAGGCCACTTCGTGCTCTTCGACTTCCCAGAACTCCATTCCCGGGCCACATTTTGGATGCCCGGAGCCAACTGTAGGCCACTTCGTGCTCTTCAAGTTCCCAGAACTCCATTCCCGGGCCACATTTTGAATGCCCGGAGCCAACTGTAGGCCACTTCGTGTTCTTCTAGTTCCCAGAACTCCGTTCCTGGGCCACATTTTGAATGCTGAGGCAGGCTGATGCTGCGGCCGAGGCTGCTGAGGCTGAGGCAGGCTGAGGCTGAGGCCGAGGCTGAAGGCACTGACTGAGGCAGACTGAGGCTGAGGCTGAAGCAGGCTGAGGCTGAGGCTGAGGCAGGCTGAGGCTGAGGCTGAGGCAGGCTGATGCTGAGGCAGGCTGAGGCTGAGGCTGAGGCTGATGCAGGCTGAGGCTGAGGCAGGCTGAGGCTGAGGCCGAGGCTGAAGGCAGACTGAGGCTGAGGCTGAAGCAGGCTGAGGCTGAGGCTGAGGCAGGCTGAGGCTGAGGCAGGCTGAGGCTGAGGCTGAGGCAGGCTGAGGTTGAGGCTGTGACTGCGACTGCCGTTGCCGCTGCGACTGTCATCGCGAATGCGACTACGACTGCGAGAACAGCAGAATTCTACAACTGGATGTTCATCTGAATCTCAAGGTGAATGCTTTCAGATATGCTTCTACACATCGCTGTTAGGTTGCTTTGCTGGGATAATTACAGGGGAACGAAGGATGACAGAAACGTAAAAACTCGGAGGTCCGCGCGGATTTCTCGGATCCGCGCTGGACCCCCCTCCCGTAGAGGAACATCGCGCAAACTGCCCGTGCGACAAGGACACGTGGATACCTGGCTGGGCACGCTCCCTAACCCCACCCTGGGGAGACCAAAAGGTACCGATACCGCTACACCCCAGACGTCTCCCAGGGTGCGTTCTGACCAGAACTTCGAGGCGAATCCAGCGGTGGCGACGAGGGCCTCCGAGGAGTCCCAGAAAGGGGAAAACGGGCGGAGGGTATTGGTATGGGTGCCTTTTTCTCCTCTGACCACCCTGGGAGAACCCTCCCTCTGCTTGTGTTGCTCCCATCGTGCTTAAGGACCACATCCCAGAAATGATTTCGAGCACCCGGACAAGTGTCGAAAGAGTGTCGAATCAGTGTCGGACGAGTGTCTCCCAGGGCCCGGCAGGTGAAAACCCTGGAATTTCGGTCCTGTTCTGGTGCTCGAAACTCCTTCTGGTGGTCCAGGCTACAGGTAGGCTGGGACACGATAGCCCCCTGCGAGCCTGCGACCGCGCAGGGCCAGAAGGGGAGGCCGGGGGGGCCCCGGAGCGGGGCGGCGTGCCAGGGGTGGCGTCCCGTGGCACTGTGCCGCGCGGGAGGCCCGGGGGGGGGCCGGCGCTCCGACAGCATTCCCCGAGGGAGCGTCGTCCTGTCCGGCGTTGCGACACTGGGCCGAAGGGGGGGGGGGTTCGGGGATGGGCAGAACCGAACCTCAGTACAGCGTGGTTTGGTGAGCACGACCTCGACCTCGGGCCCAAACCTGGCGGGCGAAAACCTGGAAGATGACGGCCGCGGCGCCCTCCCGAGAACCGAAAACGGACAATTCACTAATCGACGTGTCAGGGTGGGGATCCTGTCCACCCCCAAGGGATGGGGGGGTCTGGCTCCGGACCTCTACTGAGCACGACTCTTTGCAGCATTGCGTCCTCGGGGGGGGAGGCTCCACCTGCTCGGAACAGGCGCCCAAAAGCAGCCAAGATCTTCAATATACGATGGGCCCGACCACAAGAAGCTTTCCACAAGAAACCCAACCCTGAGACCCCAGGACGTCCAAAGACTTTTGGTGTGGGAACGTCCCGCTTTCCATCGCAAAACCCTCGAAACCCAAGAAACCCAGGGCACAATGGAGGCGAGCAGGGTGTCTCTTGGCATGGGCCCCCGCTGTACTCCATGGGAGTGGGGCGAGAGCCCGAGGCGATAGGCGAAACAATGAATAAGAAAACGATCACCTACGCGTCTTCCCTAAGGGAATCGTATGGGCCCGCCGAGGCTTCTCGCCACGTCTCGCCGCCCGTGGGCGCCTCTCTCGTGGGCGCCCCCCGTGCGCTGGGCGGGGCCGCCGAGGTGTCGCCGCGGTGCCGCCCCTCTGATCCCGAGCCTCGGTTTGACGGTGGGTGGACAGAATATATCGCAAGGCATCTGAGCGTTCGGAGAAACAGCGTGCCCACTCGCATCTCTGAAGAGAACTCCCAATCGATCTCTGAAGGAAACTCCCATCGATCTATGAAGAGAACTCCACACACACACACACACACCCACACACACACAGACACACACACACACACACACTTCAGTGTTAACTTGCATTATAGTGGGAGGAGGAGGGGGAGGAGGAGGAGGAGAAGGAGGAGGAGGAGGAGGAGGAGGAGGAGGAGGAGGGAGAGGAGGAGAAGGAGGAGGAGGAGGGGGAGGAGGAGGAGGAGCAGGAGGAGGAGGAAGAGGAGGAGGAGGAGGAAGAGGAGGAGGACAAGGACAAGGACAAGGACATCCGCATAAGTGGGCAACGTATGAGCACCTACTCAGGTGACCTGCGCTCCACAGTCAAAATCCCCTGCGATTTGTTGTGCTACAGCCCTGCCTTGCATCGTCGTGTCCACCCGCGCTTGGGGTGCTCGCTGGATGCCAACACTGACATGTAGGGGGGCACGGGGCGGTGCGTCGAGGTGGCGTCGCAGTGCAGGTGCCGCCGCACGCGGTCAGGCACAGCTTGCAACATTTCACCGTACCCCCGGACGGCTGCCTCCCCTCACGCCATGCTACTGATTGCTCCAGCGCGTCTCCCGATCCATGTGACTCGCCTGGGCATCGTCGCTGGACGGGCTGGTGTGGATACATACTTTTTGGTCCGCGGGCGCGCGAAGCGGGTCGAAAGCCGAGCCTGCTACGGCGGGCCGCGCCAGTAGCGAAGGAAAATAGTCAGCGTTGCGGATACACACGCGAAGCGTCGAGCGTATCCGAAGAGCCACGCGAGCAGTGGAGGAAACCCTGCGGAAGTCGGAGCGACAGGGGAGGCCCCCCCCCGCCCGTCGTGCTCCCGCCCGGCCTCTGGTATGATGCCAGGGTAGGGCGCTGTGAACGCGGTGAAGGTGGGATAGGCCATGAACGGCGCCCACCTGGCAAACGCTGCAGTGCAACGGAAATGAACAGCACCAACAGCAGAGCGAGGGGCATCAATACGGGCCTCCACCCTCCCATCCTCATCCATCCTCTTTTCTCCTCCTGCTCCTTCCCCTTCCTCCTCCTCTTTCTCCTTCCTCCTCCTCCTCCTCCTCCTCCTTCCTCCTCCTCCTCCTCCTCCCTCCTCCTCCTCCTCCTCCGCCTCCTCCTTCTCCCGCGCACGCTGAGGTGGGAGCATGCAAACAGTGCTCCAGTTGGCGTGCTTTGGGGTAGAGGTCCTGCCCAAGGTCGCTCTCATCTCTGCTGTTCCACCCTTCTTACGCCAATGCTCACAAAATTGCTGTATTGGGACATCTCCATGATGCTACGCGGGCAGGCAAGCCACCAAGTCGACGGCTTCTCGGGCACGTTGTCGCAGGTGACGTTCGGCGCTTGCGTCCGCGGCTCGAAGGCATACGCCAGCTTGGGGCGCGCTCTCTCCAGGGGAGCGAAGCAAGGGCCGGACCCGAATCATGAGCAAGAGAACGGGTGGGAAGAAGCGGAAGGCACTGTGCGGTTTGGGCTCCTTGGCTCTGTATGCAACGCCTGAGACGGACTCATCGATCACCAGCACAGATTCTCGCTTGCGAGGGGTAGGGGTCGCGCCTGTGGAGTCCCAGAAAGACACACTCCACTCGGACAGCGTCCATCAGGACCAAAAGACGCCACCGAGTGCGCCCAGAGCAGGGCCCCTCGGAGCAGGTCTGCTAAAGACAGACGGGGCGGGCAAGATGCGTAACACGTCCCATCTGTGCAGTGGCACAGCCTCGACGGACCTGACATGAGAGGGGAGTAGGATGAAGAGGCGCGGGCCCGACACTTCTGCACATTGGGCGAAGACGCCGACATGATTCGGAGACGAAGCTCTCCCTCTCCCCTCAAGCTCCTGCCCCGCCTCGGCCTCGACCTCCCTCCGTCCGTCCCTGCAGTCGGCCCCGCATCGGAAGGACGCGCGATAAGGATGCAAGAGCCCTGCACGCCCATCCCGAGGCTTTTCGAGCGGGGCGCGGCCAGCGAACGTGGCCGAGGATGGACCGAGGAGGCAAGGATGCAAGGCAAGGGTGCCCTTGGGAAGGCTGCCCATCCTGACTGTGCGGGTCGGCTGTATGCCCGGTCGAGGCGGCAACACCGCTCCAGGGGCACTCACGGGTCCCGGTCCTGCAGGGGGTCAGGGGCGCGAGCAATGCAACTTGCAGCGACGCCTCGGACAACCCACCCTCGAACTGCTGACTGCGAAACACGAGGTCAAGAAATCCACCTGGCATATTCCTTGTAACTGTTTGGATTGTGCGCTCTTGCGTTTTCGAAACACCTCCATGCTCCTACCCGCGTTCATCTTCTTCCTCCTCCCCTGTCTCCTTCCTGCTATCCTCCTCCTCCTCCTCCTCCTCCTCCTCCTCCTCTGGATCGCGGCCCAAACCCCGAAACCTGTCAGGACTACCCGAATAAAACTACACGACAATTCCAACGAACAAATAAGAACACCAAACCCGGAAGCCGCTCGATCTTGAAAACCTCACGGGGCCTGACCGAACTACCAAGAGCGCAAAGTCACACACACAGCAAAACCATAATACAACAAACACAAACGAAAACACAAACCACCGCAAACAGTACGACTGGACATATGCCGAAGGGCAAAAAAGGGTAGGGGATAGACATGAGCAGTGACACAGAACATGTTACGAACCTGACACATAACGAACATACGTGAAAGGAAACAGACAAGGCAACGGCAATGTAATCCATACTACTTGGCACACGTGATAGTAACATATCAAACCCATGAGGCAAGGACATCCAAAAATGATCCCCCGCTGAAGCCAACGCAAGGTCCTGCGCATCCTGAGCACGCTATGAGCGGACGAAAAGGAGAAACATAAATGACGAAGTGACCCCCCAAACCGAACCGTCTTGTCTGGAACCCCCAACCGCCAACCGCGAAGCTTTGGGCTCGGACCTTCTCGATATATACATATATATATATATGTATGTATGTATATATATATATATATATTCGTCTGAAACGCACGTCCCTTACCTTACTCACCTTGAGAAGCATCCCCTGATCCCAACAAAACACAGCGCCATAGCAAACAAATCGCGAAACCGAAACCCGCAATTTGAACGCCAGGCACATCGAACAAGTCCAACAACCCGAACTCTAGCGTCATTAAACACAAGAGAGGAAAGAAAACACCATAAAGAAAACACAACCAGATAAACAACAAACAACAAAACGACAACGTGAACCCAGACTAAAAACTCCAACCCCAAAAACGGGATAGCGCTGACCCCAAGCTGGCGAGCGACCAACATCGGCGCCCCCCAAATGCTGGTGGTCTAGGGGGTGCTGTCTCCCACTCCCCTTTTTGACGCGGGCCCCAATAATATGCACCGTCACCACCTCCATGCCCTCCCCCTCCTCCACCCTCGTCTTCCTCTTTTCTCTCCTGGGAGGGGGGGGGGATGAGGGTGGTGGTGGTGGTGGTGTATACCTGTGGGGCCCGCGGTTTGCCCCCAGCGCACCCCTCCCCCCACCCCCGAGCCGGAAGCCCGCCCCCCAGCCTGGCAGAACCTCGTGGCGGCCTGCTGGGGGCCGCTCGGGTGCCTTCTGAGGCCTGCCGGAGGCCGACTGGGGGCCTGTTGGGGTCTGTGGGGGGGCATCTTGGGACCTCCAAGGAGATTCTGGGGCCGTTCCCGGTGCCAACTACGTTGTCCCTCGGTGACATATTCCGGATTTGAGGTGCCACGGGGAACTCTTGGGGGTCTTTTTTAGGATTCTCTTGGGGCCAACTCGAGGCCTCTGGAAACTTTCCAGCCCAAAGGCGAAAATGCAAGCATCATTGACTGTCTGCATGTTTCATTCAAATTTTTGGCCTTTCTTTTTGGGGCGAGTTGGGGCCATCCTGCGCCGGCGTGGAAAGTGTCTTGGCGTGTATCATCTCGCTTGGTATCGTTTTGTTCAGTCTCGTCTCGTTTTGTCTGGTCTCGTCTTGTTTGGTCGTCCTCGGCGGCCTTACGGGCGTCTTGGGCCGTTTGAGACGGGCGCGCTGGTGTCTTCGACAGGCGCTGACTGGAAGGGCTCGCCCGCCTTGTCACTGGAGCTTCCCCTGAGATAGCTCGAGGACTCGCAAGGAATGTGAGCGTCCAAGATGGCACGCGATAGCCTGACATGATCCAACATGGCTCAACATAGCCTTACATCGCACCCCCAAACCTCCACAAGACGGCCTCAAATGGCCGCGGACCAACCCAAGCATGCCCCCGAGAGGCCGATGAACCTCGCGGGGAAGACTTCCTAATGCATGGGCGCATTGTGCGGCATTGCTTGGCATACTGTTTGGTACACGGCTTGGCATATTGTTTGGCATGTTGCTTGGCATTACTTGGTAGTGCGTGACATTGCTTGGCGCTGCTTGGCGTGTCAACACTCATTCCCCCACCTCTCGTCATGGCCCATGGCTGCCGTTACCTGGGCATTTCTGGCGGCGGACGGCGGGTCCTCGCCGCTCTCGCCACCTTATTAGTTGGCCGTCTCAGCAACCCGCGGCTGCTGCCCTCAGTGGCGTCGCGGCCAACGACTAGCAGCTGTTTTGCAGCCAGGCCATCTGCAGCCCAGCTCGGAAACTTAGCGGCATCTTGCTGCCGCGAGCGACTCGCTGGCCAGCCCCCTGTGGTCCTGGCCTCCTCGCATCCCGCTGCCGCGGTACCACAGGAACGCCTGGGACGCACGGCCTTGTGACGAACACTTGGGTGCTCGCTTCAGTGGACTCGCTCGCCACTGCGCCCCCTGCACTGGTCCGACGTGTTCTGCGCTCTCTGCGCCCGCAGCCCCTGCATCAGCCCCTGGGTGCGGGCGCGATGCCGCCCCACGTCCACTGCCAGGGCGCCTCGGCAACGGCCGGCCGCACCTGCCGCTCCTGCCGAGGACCTCCGTGCAGAGAATGCCCCCTCCCCCCCCGCCCGCCCTCCGCGGCCGCCCTCTGTCCCTCCCCCGCGTGCTGCCGGGCCACCAGTGCGCTTCGCCCAGGCTGCTGAGGAGCGCGCGAGCGAGTTGTCTCTGCCGCGCTGCGACGGAGAAAGCGGCATTGCTTGGCACTGCGCTGCGTGGTACTGCGTTGCGATGCTTGGTATTGCGTGGCAGGGCATCAAGAAACCAAAACCAAGGGACCATGAGGCAAAGGAACCACGGAATCAATACCAAGGAACCAAGGGACCCGAAGAAAATAGCAAATAATCAAGACCAAAGAAAACAAGGAAGGCCACTGTAAACCCGAGGAACGCCGTTGTAAAACAACAATGCCAAAGAAAACCCGATGGACGCTAATCTACGGAAACACAACAAGAGAATCCACAGCAACCCCACTGCAAGGAAACACGACCAAGGAACCCCAAGCAACTCTGGACGACGCAGGCCGCGATCCTTTCACAAACAAGTAAGAACTCCTTAGGCAAAGCCCAACTAGGGAACGTTCTTCAAACACCTAAGGTGTTTCAGAGATGTTGGCCCTCGCGACTTTCGCTTCCGATGCTGTACTGAGGCTTCAAGATGCATTCAAGATCGCCCATTAGAGCCTAAGAGCGGCCTATGAAGGCTCCAGGATGGCCCCAGAAGGCCCCCAAGATCGCCCCAGCGTGTCCCAAGACACTATGTCTCGAGCCAAAGATGGGCAGCATTAGTTGGAGCTGCTTCCTTGTTCATCGACGACCTCCAGAACTGATCGGCGAGGGCTCCCGAGAGGGCCCCACGAGAGCCCCGAGAGCGCCTCAGAGGCTCTGGACAGGCGGAGACTCGAAGAGTCGCCTAGGAATCTCCAAGTTCACCTGGTTCGGCCTCAACGTTTCACTATACAAGTGGATTGTGCGTGCACAGGCTCATACAGGGGGTGCATGTGAGAGCGTTGGGGGCATGCACGGAAGATGGGACATCTGGTATGGGGGCGTGAGAAGTTGTAGTAGTTCTGTCACCGATGTGTTCAGCATGCCTGGACACCGATGTGTTAGCGAACACGTTGGGCAAGTGTGTTGGACAGCACGCCGAGACGAGATGGATAACACATAGGTTTGTAACATATAAACAAAATCGTTGAACCTGTACTTCTCAAAATGCTCAACCGACACGTCGAACATACACACATGACGTTGTTTGGAAACCGATCATTGCGTAACAACACCTATATGAACTATGTGCGCACTATTTGGAATACATTGTGCCGTGACGTCTCGGTCTGCGTGCCAGGTACATCACATGTTCTGATGTTAACTCATCCCGCGCGAAATGACAATTCACATATGAAAGACAACACATTTGATCGGCCATTGGCTACACTCCCCATGGCATGTGCGCGTTTGACGCGGAGCGTCAAGAGTTTCGAAACTCGAGCCTTCACGACTTCAAGCTTGGATCCATCATCGTCAGAAGTTCGAATCGAATCCAGAATCCTGGTTCTGGCGGCGACTTTGAAATTCGGGCTTTGACTCTCCCCATGGCCTTCCATGGCGAGTCGCCGGGCTCATCGAAACACTTCCCTGAGCTTCCCCCGTCGCAGGCGGCGTGCTGCACGTACTGTTCCGCGATGCGGTTGAGGTACAACTGCAAGGCGGCGGCGGAGAATAGGTCAGGCGAGAAGGAGGCAAAGGAGAAAGACGAGGAGAGGGAGGAGGAATCACGAGGAGGAGGACTGGAAGGTGACATCTGCGATTCGATGACCAGTGGTCTCGAATTTGTGCAATATCCGCCCATGTGATCCAGATGTAACTAAGTCTGTAGCAATCACTTCTGACCAACTTGAAAATGTAACATGGCCCCTGGTGACCCGTAGGTATCCCCGATGGCCGTCGACTTCCCACTCAGTATCCCTGTAGGGCAATACCACCACCAATACCACACCACCATGATACCATCACTATCACGCTCTGAGTCGTTCGACTTCCCAAGAGCACTGTGGCGGCCAATCGCCCCCGGCAATGCATCGCGGGACCCCGTCTCGGGAAGCACGAATGACAAAACGACATTGCGAAATACTCGACCTCCCCCAGCCGTGACGAATGAAAAGTCTGGCCGAGACACAGTCACCCCCCTGGAACGATAAATAACGAGTGCGACGGCGCCGCGCGAGGGGGTGTCTCATTAGCGATAACAACCAACCCTCAAACATTACACCCCGCTATACCAGCAAACGAAACATTGAAAGCTGGTGCAGTTGTACTGTGTGCTAAGTACTACTACAATGAACAAAAAACAGTAACGCAATAACAATATGTACGAGCCCACTGTTCCATAATAGTGATACTCTAGTTCTGCCTGCAATGGGCGAACTGTAGATCTGTGGTAAAACAATCCCGACTGCTAAAACGCTCTGGTACTGCAGAAGCCCTCTAGTCCGGTCTCACGGTAAATGGAGTACTGTCGTAGCGGTACTGTGATGCTCTAGTAGCAGCCCTGTAAGAATCCTCTGGTAGTAGCAGTAGCAGTAGAAGTAGCAGTAGCAGTACTAGTAGTAGTAGTAATAGTAGTAGTAGTAGTAGTAGTCGTAGTAGTAGTAGTAGTAGTAGTAGTAGTAGTAGTAGTAGTAGTAGTAGTAGTAGTAGTAGTAGTAGTAGTGTAGTAGTAGTAGTAGTAGTGATAGAAGTAGCAGTAGTAGTAGTAATATTAGTAGTAGTAGTAGAAGTAGTAGTAGTAGTAGTAGTAGTAGAAGTAGTAGTAGTAGTAGTAGTCGTAATAGTAGTAGTAGTAGGTAGTAGTAGTAGTAGTAGTAGTAGTAGTAGTAGTAGTAGTAATAGTAGTAGTAGAAGTAGTAATCCTAGTAGAAGAACGAGACGAAGTAGAAGTAGAACGTAGTAGTAGTAGTGAGTACAACTAGTAGAAATAGTAGTAGTAGTAGCAGTAGTAGCAATAGTCGAACAAGTAGTAGTAGTAGTAGTAGTAGTAGTAGTCGTAGTCGTAGTCGTAGTAGTAGTAAAAGTAGTAGTAGTAGTAGTACTAAGTAGTAGTAGTGGCAGTAGAAGTAATAGCAGTAGACGTAGTAATAGTTCGTAGTCGTTCGTAGTAGTGGTAGTAGTAATGCTAATACCAGTAGTAGTATTCGTAGTGGTAGTAGTAGCAGTAGTAGTTGTATTAATATTAGTAGTGCTGGTAGTGGTAGTGGTAGCGGCCGTAGTAACAGTATTTGAGGTCATAGTAGTAGTCGTCGTAGTAGTAGTAGTAGTAGTAGTAGTAGTAGCCGTAGTAGCCGTAGTAGTCGTAGTCGTAGTAGTAGTAGTAGTAGTAGTAGTAGTAGTAGTAGTAGTAATACAAGTAGTAGTAGTAGTAGTAGTAGTAGTAGTAGTAGTAGTCGTAGTAGTAATACGTAGTAGTAGTAGTGGTAGTAGTAGTAGTAGCAGTGGTAGTAGTCGTAGTAGAAGTAGTAGTAGTAGTCGTAGTAGTAGTAGTAGTAAGGAAGTAGTAGTAGTAGTAGTAGTAGTAGTAGTAGTAGTAATAGTGGAAGTAGTAGTGGTAGTAGTAGTAGTAGTAGTAGCAATCGTAGCCGTAGTAATAGTAGTAGTAGTAGAAGTCGTCGTAGTAGTAGTACTAGTACTAGAACTAGTGAGACTGTAGTGACGGCTGTAGAAGTAGTAGAGTGGTACTCTAGTATTGCAGTACTCGTAGTAGTCGTACTGGTAGTGGTAGTAGCAGTTGTCGTAGTAGTAGCAGTTGTAGTAGTAGGCGTAGTAGTAAAAGGAGGAGTAGTAGCAGAAGTAGTAGCAGTAGTAGTAGTAGCACTAGTAGTAGTACTAGAAAATGATAAGAGTAGTAGCACTAATAGTAGTAGTAGCATAATAGTAACAGCAGTCGTAGTAGTCGTTGTAGTCGTAGTCGTAGTAGTAGTAGTAGTAGTAGTAGTAGTAGTAGTAGTAGCAGTAGAAGTAGTAGTAGTAGTAGTAGTAGTAGTTGTAGTAGCAGCACCAGCAATAAGTAGTAGCAGTAGTAGTAGTAGTAGTAGTAGTGCTAATATTAGTAGTAGTAGTAGTAGTAGTAGTAGTAGTAGTTGTAGTAGTAGTAGTAGTAGTAGTAATCGTAGTAGTAGTAATGATAGTAGTAGTAGTAGTAGCAGTAGTAGTAGTAGTAGTAGTAGTAGTACTAGTAGTAGTAGTAGTAATATTAGGAGTAGTAGTAGTAGTAGTAGTAGTTAAATAGTCGTAGTCGTAGTCGTAGTAGTAGTAGTAGTCGTAGTAGTAGTAGTAGTAGTAGTAGTAGTAGTAGTAGTAGTAGTAGTAGTAGTAGTAGTACTAGTACTAGTAGTAGTTGTTGTAGTAGTAGTAATAGTAGTAGTAGTGGGAATCCTAGTGATAGTAGTAGTAGTAGTAGTAGTAGTAGTAGTAGTGTAGTAGTAGTAGTAGTAGTTAGTAGTAGTGTAGTAGTAGTAGTAGTAGTAGTAGTAGTCGTAGTATAGTAGTAGTAGTAGTAGTAGTAGTATAGTAGTATAGTAGTAGTAGTAGTAGTAGTAGTAGTAGTGGTAGTGGTAGTAGTAGTAGTAGTAGTAGTAGTAGTAGTAGTAGTAGTAGTAGTAGTAGTAGTAGTAGTAGTAGTAGTAGTAGTGGTAGTTGTACTAGTAGTAGTGGTAGTAGTAATAGTAATACGATTGAAGCCCTGTGGTAGTAATGATACTCTAGTTGGACAGGCGACAACTGACAAATCGCGCGCAGGCAGACCCCCCACTTGGGAGAAATGACGGGTGGTCCGATCGAAAGTGACCCCCTGGAATGATGAATACCAACGGGAACGTTTCATCACTAACCCCCCCACCGTCGACGACTGAACCAGCTTGAAAGTACTTACCGGGTCAACCTCTTATAACCAGGGGTGGTGGCGGCTACAGAGAGAGAGAGAGAGAAAACCAAACAAGAAAGACAGACAGAGAGGGAGAGAGACTGAAAAAGACAGACGGTCAGGCAGACAGACAGACAGACAGCAACCGACAGACCTCCTTCCCTCCCCTCCCTGAACCCCGCTTATTCCCGCCGTGTGCACGTCACGTTGCCCCCACGTTTGCTACTCCGCCAAGACAAAAAATGACCCATTGGGGTCGGCCGGGCTGAAGCGCATCGCCTCTGTTTGGAAAGACTCGATCGTGAAAGATGAGATCATATAGCTGCACCACCGCATCAACCGTGTGCATTCTACAAGGGTGGAGGAAGCTGTTCTTTCCGCTCCCCGCTCCAGCTCCAATGAAGCCACCCTAACATCAGAAATCATGCATCTTGCTCGTTCGCCTTCGTGCCGTAGGCCGTGGCACCCCATGGGCGTGCATGCTGGCATACTGGCAGGCCAACTGTCCAAGCAAGCGTGGCGCACTTCGAAAAGAAAGCAAGCACGCATTGTGCTGGGGCGTTTGACAAATCTTGCCGACGCCGCCACTCGGCCTAGAAGCCGCGAAGAAGACATCCGGGCCCCTGCTTCTCGAGGCCCGCCCGCCACACGACGAGCTGGTAAACTGCAGGCTCGGGCCGTGACGACCCCGGGCGTTGGCTTCTGTCACCGCGCGGATCGTTTAGCCTGGAACCATCGGCGGCTTTTTGATCGCCCAGTCGCTCCATCCAAGTCGACTCCCCTTAGGGAAAACGACCTGGGACCGAAATCGACGAGAGAACGCGTTTCACGGGCGCTTGCCTTGGGAACATTCGGCGGCACGTTTCGAACCGGGGGTAGGCCCCCCCCAACACTCGGCGCCGACGATCAAAACCAGGGGGACCCCCCTCCCCCTCAACCCCCCCTCCCGAAACGCCCCCCCGTCCCACCACCACCACCACCACCATCGCCACAACCACCACCACTACCAGCAGCACAGCCCACCGCCACCACCACAAACCACCACACCACCACCACCACCACCACCACCGCCACCACCACCACCACAACAAACGTCCACAAACTACCGCCACCACCACAACCCACCACCACCACCACAAACCACCACCACACCACCACCACACCACCACCACAACCACCACCACCACCACAACTCACCATCACCACCACCGCCACCACCACCACACCACCACAATCTACCACACCACCACCACCACCGCCACAACCACCACCACTACCATCAGCACAACCCATCACCACGACCACAAACCACCACACCACCACCACCACCCACCACCACCACCACCACCACCACCACTTCCACAAACCACCGCGACAACCACAACCCACCACCACCACCACCAAACCACCACCCACACAACCAAACCACCACCACCACCCACCACCACCACCACAAACCAGCACCACACCACCACCAAACCAACACAATTACCACCACCACCCACCGCCCAACCAGCACCACCACAACCAACCACCACACCACCACCACCACAACCACCACCACCGCCACCACCATCACCATAACCCACCACCACCACCACCACCACCACCACCACCACCACCACCATCACCGTCGTCCTCGTCGACGCTCCCCGCCACCGCCGCCCGCCGCCGCAGGCGCCAGAATGGAAATCGTCGTCCCCGCCGCCGTCGCCAGCCGCCGCCGACGCAAGCGCAGCGCTGGCCCGAGGAGAGGGGAAGAAAGGGGGGGGAAGGGGACGGGG